CTTCACGAGCTTGCTCTGGAGCCTTCATGTGTTGCGCTGGCATGGCACTGAGCCAGTGGCAGCACACCCTATGGGGTAACAGAAAGATATATATATATATAAGGTATCTAATAGTAAGAAGTGTGGGCCATGGACGTTTGATGCAGAGGGAGTGTGAGCAAACACAAGCCAAGATGCATGACCAAAGACAGGCTGCCTTGAGCAGCAATATCATCACAGCGTTCACTTCATAGCGCACCCCCTCCCTGTCTGATGTTGCTTCCCCTCCCCCCGCGGTTGGTCCCGTGTGGCGCCCTGGCCCAGTTTTTACGCTGGTACCTCCCTGTGGGTATCTGCTTAGTTGCCCTGCTTTACTGCTGGGAGTGTGGCTGTGCTGTGTCGTCCTTCCTTCATTTTGTCTCATGGCAGCAAAGGCTTCTGGCCCTGTGTGGGGTTTTATCACCCTCTCCACCATGTTGCAGATGCTGTTAGGATGCTCAGTTTGACCACACTGAGGTATTCATCAGGTTGATGATCCAGGCCCCCCACTGGTCTCCGCTAAGCTGCACCATTGCTATTCTAATGCAGTAGGTTCGGCCTTCTCTGCCCCTATCCTCCTTTGCCATCTCGGCACCCCCCCTTTTCTTTGGTGTTTGTTTTGTCCGGTTTGGTTGTTTTTGTGCTTTTGGTGTGTTTTTTCGCGCCGTGTTGAATTCGGTGTGCCCTCCTATGTTGGTGTTACCCTTCCCTGCCCTCACTTAGGCGCAAGGCGTCTGGAGCTTAACTTGGATTGTGAGAGTTTGTCGAGTGTTTTGTGTGCTTTGTTGCTGACTAAGGTTTATGATTTGAGAGGCACTGACTTAGCAGTTTTCACTAAGGTTACTCAGGACGGCAAATTAGTTTTGGCGCCCCCCAGGGCCCGTGTTTTTGCTTTGCCCCTCTTGTTCGCTTGATCTTTCCTCCTTGGTGGGATTTTTCGCTTACTTGGTTCTGAATTCGTTCGTCTTTTCTGAGTCTTGTCGGGCTGTCCTTTGTCCGGGTGCTTTGCATGGTTGGTTGTATCTATCCGAGAGGGGCGGTAGGTAGCCGGCCGAAGCCATGGACCAGACTGTGCTGCAGTGAGTCTCACTGGAGCAATCCAGTGGTGCTCCCTGTAGGACAGCCTGGGGCGCCCGCGAGCAGCACAAGACTGCCTACATGGTTCGTCAGTTGGTGGACGAAATGTGGTGATTCTGCAGCCTGCCTATTCTGTGGGTGAGTAGCGTTATGGATTTGGGTTCACTGCAATCGTCTACTGTGCATACTGCAATGCACTGCAGGTCTTTCAGGGACGATGACATCCTGAAATGTCTTGAACAGTTCTGTGGTTTGCATGTTCAGCGAACCTGCAACAGTGAGAGCAACGCTGCCGAAGATAGCACTGGTCTGGCGGAACTTGCATATACAGTCATGCTAACTTTCGGCCCTCTTTTGCTGTCCAAGTGTGGAGTCATTGCCTTTTGGCTTGATCCTATCTGCGTAACGACAATTTTATTGCATGTCTCTTATCCTTGCGAGTATTGCCTAGGAGCTTCGCTGGCTGAGATCTATCAATTTGCAGGTTTGCAGTCCTCCCCTATGAAATTAGGGGTCTGCACTGCACTACATTTGCGATGGCAGTTTGGAAGTTTTTCACTGGTCTGCGAAGCTTCCCGTGCGCCATCACCGTCCGCCCCCCCTGCTGGGGGGGGTACCTGGCATTTTGACTACCACGGCTTCTTGCTCACGGGTGATATATGGTGACGACTCTGTCCATGGAGGCCTTCTGGACAAGCTGATCTGAGAGGACGCTGAGAGAGGCATAGGTTGTAGCTCGTTTTCATGTACAGTTTGTTATCACTCTTTGGAACAAAGATGGTAACCTTATTTGGCCGTTGGAATAAAAGACTTTTGTTTGGCAAAAGTCTTAGTGGGGGTTAAACTGATTGGCGATGTGAACAACTGGTACTACATTTATATGGGTCGTTTGCACTGTCCTCTTCTCCTTTCCCTTTATTTGATTTCCTCCTCTCCTGTGAACATGTATGTTGTGCAAATCAAACACCTGGGGTTTTGGACAACAGTTTTTATTTCGGGCAGTTTGGTTCAAACCTGCGTGGGAAAATTCAGCATGGGGGTTTTAGCGATGGCATGAAAATTGTGTCCAGGCGAAACTGTAATCTGGAATGACTTCAGATGATGGTGCTGAAAAGGACGTGGGTTTGGAATTTTCACTGGGGCCTTGCGGTGAGGCTGAACTGTTTGGCGAGATGTGGGACAATGGGCATTCATACAGGGATTCATACTCACCTGGTTTTACAGAGGTTTCAGAAGCACAGCCTGCGCTGGCTAGTGGCTACAAGCCTGACAATGCGCTCGAGCGGTCGTGGCAACAGCTTGGTGCAAAGCCTCTGCAACAGCTCTGGGAGCATGGTTTTTGGGGTAATTTTTGGCAATGACTCTGATGCCTCTTCATCAGCTGCTCTTACAAATACGCTGGGTTTACATCGACCGATGGTGCCTATGCTTACAGGTGAGGTGGAGCTGTTAGAAGATGTGGCTGGAAGAGGTTTGGAATCCAACAAAAGGCTCAAACATGCTACTTACCTGGATGTGGTGTCTAATTGTTCTGTACAAACATGGCGTGAGCAGCGGGACAGCATGTGGGAGACTGCAGTGAGACGCTGGCACAGCTGCATAATGTCTTGGGATGGTGACGATGCAATCATTGGACTGGTCAAGAACAAGGAGGACTTTAAGTCTCAGTGCCAGATTGTGGTTGACGTTTTACACAACAAGGCACCTGCAACACTCCTGAAGAGGTGCAACAGCATTTCACGTTTGGTCAATGATTTGCACAAACATGGACGTGTTTTTCCTTGCAGTGAGGAGGACTTGTATGATCATCTTTGCAGACAGAGGGATGAGGCTGTGCCAAGCTCTCGACTCAAGTCGCTGCTGGAAGCTGTAACATTTGTCCGACATATGTTTGGAGTGGTGGGCTTGGAGCCGTGCACGAAGAGCAGGAGGTGCATGGGCGTTGCTACGCCACTTCAAGTGAACATCATTAAGCAGGCGCCACCACTTAGGGTCGAGCACTTACTGGCGTTGCATCATGTGATTGATTCAGATGAAGATCCATGGAACATTTGTTTTGCAGGCATGGTTTTGTTTTGCGTTTACGGCAGGGCTCGGTGGAGTGATGCACAGCATTCTCAACATATTGAATGGGACATGGACCTGGAAGGACAAATTTGTTATGTCGAATGTTCCACTGCTGTCCACAAGACATGTCGTGCTTTGAACATGAGACATTCCTTTTTGCCGTTGACGGGACCTGGGCTGGGAGTTGGAGAACGCAACTGGGCTGATGCTTGGAGGCGTGCAAGATTGCAGCTGGAAATTGATGACCTGTCATGTCACCCATTGATGCCGGCACCTGATGAACATGGCCAGGCAACAGTCCGGCCGCTTAGCACTAAGGAGGCAGGCAGTTGGTTGACATTGCTGTTGAAGCAGAAGGTGGAAGTGCTGAACCTGTCGGAGCCTTTGAATTACACCTCACATTCGTTTAAGGCAACAGCATTATCATACCTTGCAAAATATGGTTGCAGTTTTGAAGACAGACTTGCTTTGGGGTATCATGTTGACCAAGTGCGCATGGCGTTGAGATACAGCAGAGATGGGGCATCTCGTCCACTCAGGGTTCTTGAGACATGTCTTACTGACATTAGAACTGGCAAGTTTAAACCAGACGTCACAAGAAGCGGACGCTTCGTTCGGAGCCTGGACCCGGGTGCAGAGCCGGTTGGTGGTGATGTTGCAGAAAACTTGCATGTGAAACAAGAAGTTATTTTGGCTTCCAGTGGTGTTTTCGAGGCAGGTGAGGTTGTGGACGTCACGTCAGACCATGTGACAACTTGCAGCGATAGCAGCGGTGACGACAATGCCGTTGTCATGCCGAAGAACCCGACTCGTACCTTGCTCATTCCTCAGGGTGTTGATGTTTGGAAACATGTGAAACTTAAGACCGTTCACTTGGCCCCGGAGGGATACGTTCGGATCTTGGCTTGTGGCAGGAAGATTTCAGAGAACTACCAGAAAGGTGGTGTCGATGTACGGTTTGACATAATTAAATGCAGGCAGTGTTTCAACAGCTCGATCCTTAAGGATGTGTAGTGCTTGCAAACCGAACTGAACAGCAGATTTGGTGATGTTTCTTTTTCAGCATGTGCAGACTTGAGGTAGGTTTGAACTGGAAAAAAACCAGTTTGACATGGAACCCAAGTTTTAGTTTCATGACATGGAGTTTCTTGTGACCCGTCTTGTCGAAAGGCGGCAGCCAGCATGAACTTCGTGGGAGGGCAATGTGCCGGGCCAGAACCTTCGTTTTATTCGTCAATGCAATTTCAATGAGTTTTTGAAACAGTGCATTGTCAACAAGTGTTTTTTCCTTCAGGCATTGTTGCTGTCTCATGCCATATGGGGCTGGTTTGTCGGCAGTCGTGTTTGGCAATTTGATGTCAGCTAGATGGCAATGTGCGGAGCCACAACAGAGTTGTGACAGGGCACGAAACGTGAAACCTGTGAGACAGCATGATGCCAAAGGCAAAAAACTGCAGCAGCGTATCAATTCTTTGGAAGCAAGTTTTAGTGCAATAGAATGGCAAAAACATGGGCGGCTGTGAAATCGCTTGAACCGAGCTAAACGCTCACAGGGTTCTTGTTGTTGTCAGTGATGGAATAGGACGCTTTGGGAGGATCGTTGTATGGACCCAGAGTGTCAATCCGTCGTTGCACAGGCTCAGAATGCAATTCGATGTCATAAATTTTTATGCACGCACATGGCATGTCATGTTGTTGCACTTGGCAGCCTTACTTTTGAGAAACTCAGTGGCTTTGCGTTGCAATGATGTGATTGTGCTGAGGGGTTGACATGTGAGAACCTTTTTACTTTCATGTTTGTTTTAAACGGCTTGAGTTGACAGTAGGACGGGCGAGTCATGGCACTGGTCGATTCGCAAGCGGCGTTTTCACTGCATTGCGATAAGATTGATGGGACAGGATGGTTGAAGGCAACAATGGCCCGCAACAACCTTAAGACGTTTTCTGATCTTGGGTTTGCGGTTGGCACACCTCAGACGCCGGCGGCTCAATCTGAGTTTGATCAGTTTTGTGGCACAATCAACAACGGCTTGGACATGACGATTTCGGAAGCTGCCAGGGTAAGACGTTTACATTTTGAGGCGTGCACCCTTATAGTAGCACATACAAAGCAGCAGGTTTCTTTGGACTCTTCAGTGGAAGGTGGCCGCAAGTTACCAGTGGCTGAGAAACAGGCACGATTGCAGCAGCAGCAGCAACGCCTTTCGGGACTCAGTATTTCTGGGGAGTTGCAACCCAGTTATGCCCTCATAGATCTTGCAGCCTCTATGCTGGAGAGCAATTCAGTGATATGGATCTCCCCATCGAAGTGCTCAAAAAGGGAGTCGGAGATTCAGTTGTCGGCCACGAAGGAGAAGTCATCGGTGATAGCCGTAGAGCAGCACACTTTGAAGGTTACAGCAGCTGAAGATGTTGTAAAAGTTGACCATAGTACTGAGCTACAACTACAATGGGCGCTTCAGAGGCGCGGGATAGCACTAGATCAGTGCAGGCTCATTGATTGGGACGTTCATCAAAGATGGGTGCAATACCTCCTTGGTCTTCTTACCAAAGTGGCGCCGGAAGGATACAGCAGGATCAAAATGGAACAGCTCTTGAAAGCAGACCGTGAACTGTTTTTGGTCATGGCACATGATTTGCAGCACTCCGGTGAAAGGCTGAGTGAGACGCCTTCACCAATGAATCAGGCGATGCCTCGCTTGATGACGGATCCCCGCATTACTATGCACTTGTTGCCACTCCCTACTCATGCTGCCAGGGCTTCCTCTTCCACCACAACGCCTGCTCCTCCAAAGAAGGAGAACCCAGCAACCCCGAAAGGAAGGGGAAAAGTGCGAAGAGATGGAAAACAGTCTAATAAGGCAAAAGCTTTGTGCCCGGCAGAACTCAAGGATTACAAGCAACAAGACGATCAAGGAAGGCCCATTTGTTGGGCTTACAATCTCAAAGGCGGTTGCAAAGAGCCAGTGACAGAAGGACGGTGCAAGAAAGGGGCGCATATTTGCATTAAATGCAAGAGGTCCAATCATGGCTTGGCTACCTGCCGAGTCAATTCCTGAAAAATGGCCAAGGGTGCAACGAGTGTTTCACAGGTGCGTCAAAACATGTCAGACAACAACATGGCGGATGACGCATTGCATGAGCAACATGTTGAAAATATCGTTGCGAAGGAATTTAACCTGCAGGAGGCCAAGAAAAAACTTAGGACTCTGCAAGAGACACAAGTTTCACAGGAAAGCGATCTTAGCACACCTAAGGTGTCTGGGGGCGAGTCCAAGACGGACAGCTATGCAGGAAAGTCTCTGGCGAACATTTTGATGGTTGAGCTGTACGCTGGGTCAGCGCGCTTGTCAAAGGCGTGCCAACAGGTTGGAGTACGCAGCATAGCAGTGGACCAGACCACTCAACGATCACAGGGCACTCGTATTTTTGTTTGTGATGTGACTGATGAAGCAGAGCTTGGTATGTTGCAATCCTTCTTGAGTGCAGAGCAAGACAATTTAGCATGGGTGCACTTCGCACCTGCTTGTGGAACCGCTTCAAGGGCACGTGAGAAACCCAATCGCAGCCTTGAGAAAGCCGGTTTCCGGGTACCCAAGCCTTGCAGGTCTGATGAATTTCCTCTGGGACTTCCCCATTTGACTGGAACCGATAAGGTTCGGACAGAAGCTGCCAACCATGTGTACAAAATCACAGCAGAACTGATTAGACGGCTTCATGCGTGGGGTGTTGCTTGTACAATTGAGAATCCCACTAACAGTCTTTTTTGGAAGGTCCCGTACATTTCTGACTTGGTACAAGACTTTGGTGGGTATGACGTGATTTTTGACAGTTGTTGTCATGGGGGTGCACGGAAAAAGAGCACAAAATTCTGGTGCACAGTGCCTTGGTTTGCAAGCTTAGCAGCTGCGTGCCCGGGCCCGGGACAACACGTTCACAAGTCTTGGACTCCATCAATAGTTGATGGGAACGTACAGTATCCAACAGCTGAGGAAGCAGCATACCCTAAATTACTGTGTCAGCGTCTTGCTGAATGTTTCCGTTCAGCCATGTTACAGCTTGGAGCAGTTGATGTGGAGGACTTAATGCAGCAGCAGCAAGCAGAACAGCCGTCTTTGCACCGCATAATTCTTGATGCGTTGCCCAGGGGTAAGAAGTTCAAGCCCTTGGTCTCTGAATATGGCGCTTATATCACTATTCTGCATGATTCCCGAGTCCAGGAGCGAGAATTTTCTTTGCCAGCAGGTGCAAAGCTGGTGCATAACGACTGGCTAAGCGGGGTGATGTTCGGGTTGATGGCGCTGTTTTTCATGATTCAGTTGTAAGTTTTTCTGAGGAACAGGTGGTGACGGTATCACAGTTTGGAATCCCGAGATCACCAGAGGATTTTTGCAACAGAGCAGTTAAATGTGGGCATCCGAGGGGCATGTCATTGCATTTGCCTGAGGTAGTAACTCAGGTGCTCAGGGACAATTTGGAGATGGAGCCCTCAGAGCTGGCATTGGTGAGGTGCCGACAACTGGCAAAGTGGGCGGTAAGAGCAAAGCAGCTTGGTGAAGCAGAAAAGCAATTCAAGCGGAGTATGCCTGAGCACTTGCAGGTGTTGTTACAAAACAAAAGGTTGCTCCTCTTGCGTGAAATGTTGGAGGAGTTGGATTACCCTGATAAGGACTTGGTAAAAGACATATCGGTTGGTTTCAAGTTAACTGGATGGCAGGAAAAAACTGGTGTTTTCCCTCCGTGTGTCAAACGTCCGCAGTTCTCGGTGGACACGCTGAGGAAGCTTGCAAAGGGTTTGAATAGGGCCATCATCAGCCAACTTAGCGCTGAGAATGATGATGACGAAATAGTGCGGCAGACCTGGGACAAAACTCTGGAGGAAGTGGCTTTGGGCTACATTTGGTTGGATGACAAGTCCAGTCCTGACCAGGTATTTTTGGCCAAAAGGTTTGGGCTGTTGCAGAGGGCCGGCAAACTGCGGGTCATTGATGACTGCTCGATTGGAGGAGTCAATGGAGCTTTGGGTGTGGTCGAAAAGTACAAGGTGCATGCAATTGACGAAACAGCTGCGTTTCTGACATGGATGTTACAGTTTTCCCAGAAGGGAATTGAACTGGAAGGCCTGTCCGGTAGGACGTACGATATGAAGCATGCGTACAAGCAATACGGCATTGCAGTAGCAGACAGGGAGCTGGTGCGTCTAGCAGTGCGGAACCCGTTGGATCATACGGTGGCTTTGTTTGGAATCAACAGTCTTCCGTTTGGAGCTTCAGGTTCTGTAGGAGGTTTTCTCCGCATCAGTTTGGCGGTTTGGTATGTTGGCTTAGTGATGTTTCGTTTGGCCTGGACAGCGTATTTTGACGACTATACAGTTTTTTGCAGAGACATGTTGATTGGCAACACGTCAAAGACGGTTGACAATTTGTTTGACTTGCTTGGGATCGAGGTGGCCCGTGAAGGGAGCAAAGCAACAGGTTTTTCCAAGCAGTTCAAGAGCTTGGGGGTAGAGCTTGACTTAAGAGACTTCTGCAGGGCGGAGGCCCGGATTGGGCACACTTCAGAAAGGCGGGAAGAGATTGGCGCCGTGCTGGATGATATCCTTAGAGCTTCATGTGTTACCGCAAAACAGGCGGAATCACTTAGGGGCCGTTTGCACTGGTTTGAATCTTTCGCTTTTGGCCGTGTTGCCAATGGAGCTGTGAAAACTTTGGGCGATTTGTCGTTGCGGGGGTTGAAACAGATTGTCTTGCGACCTCGAGAAATCAGGGATCTTTGTTTCTTGAGAGATAGGGTGCTGCAAGCGCCACCTTTGAAGCTGACTCCGACCTGCCTCATGTCTTGGGTCGTCTTTACGGATGGAGCCTGCGAGGGTCCTGATGGTGCCAAAACTGGCAGTATCGGGGGAGTCCTGGTATGCCCTCGCGGGACCTTGGTTCAATTTTTCGGTGGTCAAGTGCCGGTTGACTTGATGGAGCTTTTGCTTTCTAAGTCCAAGAACCCGATTTATGAACTGGAGGTGATGCCGATCCTTGTAGCCATACTCCTTTGGGGAGCCACTTGCGAGCATGCGCAGGTTTGTTGGTACTTGGATAACGAGGCTGGTAAGTCAGCTTTCTTGAAAGCCTATGGAGCGACGGAAGTCGCTGATGGCATGGTCCAGGATTTCACCAGGCACGAGATGGAATTGCAGATTAAGTCTTGGTTCTCTCGTGTGCCTAGCGCATCAAACATAGCGGATGCGCCTAGTCGCCTCGAAGACTCTTTGATGAGAGATCGGGGTGCTGCGAAAGTGGCAATCAGTTGGCAAGCCATCCGGGAAATCATAGTCTGCTGGGTTTCCAGAAATGGGGGAGATGACGGCAACAGACTTTGAAGGATTTCCCCCAGTGCTTGCAGAAAAAAGGATTGCGGAAGCCGCATCGGTTGTTCAGTGAGAAAGCTGTCTTGTTTCAGTGCATGTATTTCCGTTTGATTTCGGTGAAAGCAATTTTAATTTTTTTGTTTGAGGGAGAGAAGTTTTGAGAAAAGAAATAATGAAAGAAAGGAGAGAAGTGATGAGGATTGAATATAACCTCCCTGAGGAGGTGGACGACCATTTGTAGTGAAGGGTTCACGTCGCGTATTTAGGCAACCGTATGTATACATATACTTATATATATGTTATGTATATGGTTGCTTTGTATATAGTTGTGGGACCCCCACGTTTATTCCATTAGGACTAAATAAGTTATCACTCTTTGGAACAAAGATGGTAACCTTATTTGGCCGTTGGAATAAAAGACTTTTGTTTGGCAAAAGTCTTAGTGGGGGTTAAACTGATTGGCGATGTGAACAACTGGTACTACATTTATATGGGTCGTTTGCACTGTCCTCTTCTCCTTTCCCTTTATTTGATTTCCTCCTCTCCTGTGAACATGTCAGTTGTGCAAATCAAACACCTGGGGTTTTGGACAACTGTTTTTATTTCGGGCAGTTTGGTTCAAACCTGCGTGGGTAAATTCACCCACCCACCGCCCAACGTAGTTCATGTCTGGTCATGCTTGACCTCAACCAGGATTCCATTGAGGATTCTCATACAGAATTGCAACGGACTCAACAGGTCCTCCAATTTTCTTTTGATGTCGGTAGGAGCCGACCTTTGTTCCACACACCATTACTGGTAGTGACTTATATGGTACATCGGTACGACTGGATGGAAGTCGGAATTTTTGTATTTTTGACGGCTGCGGACCAAGCCGCACTTTCGGCCATCAACTGGGCCGCGTGGGACGAATATATGGAACGGTGTTCTGACAACCTTCCTGATGTTTCCCCCCACATGGGTGTACCGGTGCAGCAGCCCCGACTTCATGGAGCCTAACCCTGCCGTGCGATGACGGCAACAGACTTTGAAGGATTTCCCCCAGTGCTTGCAGAAAAAAGGATTGCGGAAGCCGCATCGGTTGTTCAGTGAGAAAGCTGTCTTGTTTCAGTGCATGTATTTCCGTTTGATTTCGGTGAAAGCAATTTTAATTTTTTTGTTTGAGGGAGAGAAGTTTTGAGAAAAGAAATAATGAAAGAAAGGAGAGAAGTGATGAGGATTGAATATAACCTCCCTGAGGAGGTGGACGACCATTTGTAGTGAAGGGTTCACGTCGCGTATTTAGGCAACCGTATGTATACATATACTTATATATATGTTATGTATATGGTTGCTTTGTATATAGTTGTGGGACCCCCACGTTTATTCCATTAGGACTAAATAAAGCTTCGTTCTTTTTTTCAACCGCGATCCCAAAGGTGGGCTCCAGGGCTTGCTTCAGGCCACACAGACATGGCAGGAGCAGAGGAAGTCATCGACATTGCCACTGATGACCTTGAGACAGCACCTGACGCAGTGCCTTTTCCAGGACCTCATGCTGAAAGTGGTCAAGATGTCGGAAGCCAAGCAGGACGACCAACTGTTCCTGGCCTCTGTTCAGAGCCAAGTGATCGACGAGAGCGGGAACTGGCCCTTCTTGGAATGGAATCCAACGACCAAACAACTCCACAAGAGTTCCAAGACACCCATCAGCATGACGCTGATGCTACAGCATGTGAAGGAGCTGGTGGAAATGTTCAAGAACCCAGACCTGGTGTTATGCTTCAAGTCGCTTCAGACCCACCAGGACACCCCCATATGCCCTTGGAGACTGCAGCTCTGCCCGAGGGCGGATCGGGAGTGGGAGCTTTTGAACCGGCTCTCCCGCAGCAGCGTTTGGACCCTCCTTGGGACAATGCTCAAGCCGCATGCCCTGCACCAATGCGGACTGGCGGACTCCATCCAGCAGGCTCTTGGCCAGCAGACCAGGAAAGGGAAGGGCAAAGGCAAGACCAAGCAGACGAACCATCGATCCAAGACAACGTGACACCCTCCTTGGCCGTGCTCCTTCATGTGATGAGCCACTTGAGGCTTCGCAATGACTCCAATTGGTGCTACGTGAACAGCACCATTTTCTGTGTTCTCTGGACATTGATGTCCATGCAGTGTGATTCAACCTCCTTGGGGGAACGTTTTGCAGACCTGATTCAATTTCTTCCATGTCACAATTTGCAATTGGTTGCTTTGAGTGAACTGCCTTGGTTTGATCAGATCTTGCAAGCATGGGAAGCCTTTCAGGGTACTCAGAGGGGTATGCAACAGGACGCGTCTGAATATGCAGCCGCCGTCCTGTGCTGGCTGAGAGCACCAGCTGTCAACATGACCTGGGAACGCCGTGTGGAAGAAATGGGATCAGTGTGCACACATGACCATGGAGATGCTTACATGCCCATCACACTTTCACTACCTGCCTCTCATGCCATTTTGCCTGAACAGCAGTACAATTTGTCCTCTCTTGTTTGGAGCTGGATGCAGGAACATGGGATGATTGCTGCTTTGACGCAGGCCCCTCAGTGCCTATGTCTTCACCTGGATCGATTTTATCAGGTGGATGGTGAGGTTCACAAAAGCCAGTGCATGATTGACATGGAGGCTGGCTGCACGATGCCTGTCTTCACAAACACCTCTTTGCAGCGCGAAATGGTTGAGTATGTTTTGGTTGCGGCAGCAGCACATTTGGGGTCTGACAAAGGGGGCCACTATCGAGCGGCCTTGAAAACTTGCCCTGCAGTTCAATCGACTGGACAGCCAATGCATTGGCTCATCACCAATGATGATGTTGAGGCAACGCCCACATGGAAGATGCCAGACTGGTTTTGCCACAATACAACTGTCTTTTGGTTGTTGCGAGCTGACAGTGTGCATTTGCATGCGTATCAAGCCTTGCCTGCCCAAGACCCAGTGCAGATTGATGCAGCACATGGACCTTTGACTACGGATCCACCCAATGACTCCATGCCAGAGCGTGACAATGATGCTGGCTCCCTTGCAGCCGTGCCGAAGCCTGATGCAATGACAGAGGCCATTTTGGCCATGCTCCAGACTACCACAATGGCAGAACGCCAAAGATGAAAGCTCAGCTCTACAGTTTCTCCAAACTTTTCACCAAAGGTAAGGCCGAAAGATTCCAATGGAACCGTTGACACAATGTCAATGTGGTCTTGCACAGACCTATGCAGATGCAAAATAGGCGTGTGTGGAAAAAACAAACACACACACAAGCCCCTGTGCCACCCCCGCGTGGCACTCAAGCTCCTCTATGGAGGATTAGAAGTAGTTTTCCTGGGGCGTTTTCGTGTTTCTCCCGGTGCTGTTTTGAGCCATTGCGTCGTTACATTGATTTCGCTGCCATTTTTAATTTCATTTGCTGCCCGGCATTGAGTTGACTTGATCCTTGGCTCTGCTCTGCAGAGCCGTCATCCATCACGACCAGTTTCTGGACAATCGGAGGCCTTTTGCTCCTGCTGCTACAAGGATTTCACGCAAGCACAACATTGTGGCGCTGGACATACGGAGTTCCCACATCCTGCGGACTTGGCCCCCGATTTCTGACTGGCCAGTGGGACTCCTGGACACCTGGGCTGGACACCCAATCTGATTGTTCCATTACAGATCTTGCTTTGCGACGGGAGACATATTTACATATTGGAATCAACTCTACTGTGCAGGCCGAGACATCATTTGGTTTACGGCTGGACCCTGGCGATTTGTTTTTCACTGGTAGTGGCAACCTTCCACTTTTTGGCAGTCATATTTATTTGCGAGGAGTGAATTTCCATAATTTTTCCGATCCCACTGGTGGTGGCAACCTTCCACCAAAGCTGCAAACAGATCTCGACTTGATTTCTTTGACCACAGGGGTTGGCTCCCTTCTTTGCTTCTCTGGCCAAACTGGTAGCGGCAACCTTCCGCTGGTGACACAAGACATTGATGCAGATGGTTTTTCTGATCCGGATGGCTACAGAACAATGCGACTATTTCATTTTGGGGTTGGCTCCCATCAATTCTCTGGCCTAACTGGTAGTGGCAACCTTCCACTAATGCAATACAGACATGCTGAACCACGTCGGTTGAACATAGGGGTAGGCTCCCTGTTTTATTTTCCTGGCCTGACTGGTGGCGGCAACCTTCCGCTGGAAAGGGAAACATGGTGGGTTACACAGCAATATTTTTTCAATGGGGTTGGCTCACAACAATTTTCTGGCCTCACTGGTAGCGGCAACCTTCCGCTGAGCTTTTGGGATTTTCTGCAAATCAAGCTGCTGACCTATCCAAAACTTTTGACCAGGTTTTGCACTCACAGCACTTCGTTTTCACGACAGGATTACGATGTTTTGCGTGCCCAGCTTGGGGTTGAATACCCACTGCACTCTGACTCCACTGGTGGTGACAGCCTTCCACCAATTCTGACCCTTGGGGATGACAGATTTTTCATTGCTGACCATGAACAGGATGCAGGGGTGGGCTCCCTTTTGATTTCTGGCCCAAAGCAGTTTGACCAATATTTTCATTACACACAGGAATGGAAGCTTTCAGATTCCTGCACATTGTGGTTGCCTAGCAGTCCTACACAGGATTTGAGTCAGAGCGCTTTTGCATTCCGACTGAACTGGGTTGCCACCTTGTGTGGATACTGGAGTAACATCATGCAATCAATACTATACATGTTTGATTCAACATCACAATTTTTTCTCAGGCAGCAAACAACAACATTTTCAGTGCAATGTACGATGCAAGCCCTCGACATTGATTTTCTCAGATGGCTCTTTTTCATTGGGTGGTCACTTTGTGCTGTTGTGACCATCTGCCAGCACTGTGGGTTTCACGATTCACGCCACAGGATTTCACACTGCTTGAGTGCACGACAGACTGTTCCCCATCAAGGTGGCACACCTGGTCCCAAGTCCAGGGGCCGGCTCCAACTTAAGACCTCCAGATATAGAACTTTTCACTTTTTCTGTGCGTTCATACTGGGACTGATTTCCATTGTGGAGCTGGTCAGGGGTGAGGGTTGCACCTGTGTCATGGCAGGTGCTGGAGTGTCACACACATGGACACCAGATCAGATGTCAACAAGTGACACGAAGCAACATGACACGCGGCCAGTAACCAGTGCTGCAGCACTTGCCTGGCATCCTGCCCAGACCAAAGTTGTTAAGCGTAGCATCCGAAGAGCTTATGCCAGATCTCTTCAACATGGAATTGCCTGGTATCGAGGGAAATGTCTTGTGCCCACTGACTTTCCCCAAGCCCTGAGAGATGCGCACCAGCCGATTCCCAAGCCTGTGTCTACTGGACCATCACCCCAAAGCATGCAATGCAATCGACGCCACAAACCTGCCAGACGTTTTAGCCTCATGCAATGGAATGCTGGAGGACTCTCCATTCAGCGGCTTGACGCCATTAAGGTATGGATGATGAACCAACAAATTGAAGCAGCCATGATTGTTGAAACCAGATGGTCCTATGAACATGAGTGGAGTGACGGACATTTTCACTATGTGCATTCAGGAGATCCAAATCATAAGGGAGCAGGCATACTATGCATTTTGTCACAGCGCTTTTGCCGTCAAGATGACATACGTTGGAAGGTAGCTGTCCCTGGGCGCTTAGTGCATATCCAAGTCAGACAGGATCGACGCAACATTGATCTTGTTGGGTGTTACCAACACACCCAGGCCTCCACAACTGCACGTCTCCATGAACGTGCCAAGTGGTGGCATCAATTGGATTCACTGCTCCATGAGTTAGCTGCAAGGAATATCCTAATTCTCACTGGAGATTATAATTGCAACCTGTTGACTGCGGCCTCCCACAGTGGCCCCAGTTGCTACAGATGGCAAGGCCAAATGACCCATGGGGCACAACACCAAGATGCAGGCCACTTCACGGCCATTTTGCGTATGCATGGACTGACTGCACTGAATTCTTGGACCCCCTCACTAGGGCCGACGTTTGTGCAACAAGATCATCATTCCAGAATCGACTATGTCATCACACGCAAACAAGTTGCAGATGGCAGTGCCAAAGATGCTGTTTATGCATGGGATGCTCCTTTTTGCACTGACGTCCAACATGGACATGCCCCAATTCTGGTCAATTTGCGCAAACAGTGGTACATGCCCAAGGCTCAAGTGACAGGCATTACACCTGCGCAACGCCGACAGGGACACCATGAGTTCAGGACCAACACAGCGCAGTGGCAGGCTTTTCTGCAGACCACGGCAGAAGCCCTACAGCCCATCATGCAAGATGCCTGGATCTCAGATGAACAGTTCATACCTTCACTACATGCAACAGCCGCTAGATGTTTTCACCAATTTTTTCCATCCATTTCCAAACCCAAACCAGACCTTGATGAGCACACCACACACAATGTCATGTCCAAATGGCACCACAGGAGACAGATGTTGAACTTGCGCCAGACGTGTTTGGAGAACTTGTTTCAAGCCTGGTATCACTTGACCAGGTTTCAGAAGCTGAATCGCCAATCCAAGCTTTTAGCCAGAACTGTGCGCCAGACACGTTTTCAGGAAGGCATTGCCAGTGCTCAAACTGCTGCCCAATGTTTTGACACGCATGCTCTGTTTTCCATTATCAACAAGTATTCACCCAAACAATCAAAACGCAGAATCCAATTGCGAAATGCCAAGGGCCAAATCTCCTCACCTGTTGAAGAGGCATCACAACTCAGACGATTCATCATGGACACATGGAATGGCCCAACCACCTTTCCCACCACATCCATTGCGTTTTCAGGTATGCCTTTCACTGCAGAGGACCTTGCACAGGAACTGAGCCGCATTCCTGCTGTCAAGGCAGTAGCACGACCGTGCGCCCCTGGAGCAGTGTGGAAATCCCTGGCGTATCTGATTGCACCTGCGATCCATGCCAAACTTCAAGAGTGGTGGAATCGTCCATGCCCTTTCTTACCCCAGTGGTTTCGAAATAGCTGGATGATCCTCATCCCTAAACCAAATAAACCCCCCACTAATCCCAGGGCCTTGAGGCCGTTAGCACTCCAAGAACCCATCAGTAAGGCTGTTGTAGGCCTCTTAACCAGAGCTGCCCAAAGAGATGCCCTACCACAGCTGACCAGAATGCCTTTATGGGCGTATTTGCCCGGGCGTTCCACACAAGATGCGCTCCTGAGAGTAGCTAGACATTGCCATGCTGCACGCCTGTTGATGCAAAGCCTCAGAACCAATCCTTTCACTCGCCAGCAGGGATTACCCAAGTTCAAGATTGCAGGTGCCTTGCAGATCTTCTTGGACATTGAACGTGCATTCGACATGCTCAGCAGAGAACATCTTTTCAGCAGACTGCATCACCTTGAGATTAATCCTCAAATCATCCAACTTTTAGCCTTGTGGCATCAGGAAACCCATTACTCCCTGTTTTGCAATGGAGAAGAATCTACAATCCCTGTAGGCAAGGGCGTGCGCCAAGGGTGCCGTGCGGCACCTCTTCTCTGGAATGGGTATATGTGGCTTTTCCTGGTTGAGTTGAGCAAAGAGGTAAATTTAACCTGGGTACTGCAGTGCCTGAATATTTACGCTGACGATTGTCACATGGGCGACCTTTACAGATCTTCCCAAGAACTGCAACTGCTTCTTGACAACATCAACAAGACTCTTTTGCTTTTGAGGAAGTTTGGACTGACCATCAACCCAACCAAATGCACAGCCTTGCTGACCATGGGTGGAACAAACCACCGCAAGCTCCGTGCGTCACTCACTGCCTGGCGCGATGGGAAAGAGTGGCTCTGCCTTGGCACAACTGCAGATCCAATGTGGATTCCTATTGAACCCACGGCCAAATATCTTGGCACGATCATTTCATATAGGAATTTTGAAGACGCCACCATCAGACACAGAGCCCAATTGGCACGCATTGCATTTGGACGCCTCAAGCGATGGCTGACAGGGAGACGAGGGTTGCAACAGAAGCAAAGACTGCAGCTATTCACCACTTGTGTATATCCAGTCTTGACTTATGGCATTTTTTCCATAGGCATCACCACAGTAGGCTTGCAGCACATCCAGCAATTGCTATATAGCCAGCTTAGACAGATCCTATGCAATCATGCCTACATCACTGGACACAGCCACACATATGCATTGTCAGTGAACCGTGTTGCGCTCCCCACTGAATGGTTGTGGCGCTCTGCTGAAACTTTGCAGAGGTCTGTTGAACGTCGGACTCTCCGCGCTGGACCACATGACATTGTCCATCAAGTTGACTGGACACATCTTGCTGACATCATTGAACTTTTGCACAACCACCATTGCAGGGGCCCAGACATCGTGATTCAGCCGCCAGCCCTTGACGTGCCCTTGTTGAGCCCCCAATATACATGTCAGTTGTGTGATTTTCAAACCCATGACACGGCTATGTTTCGTAGACACTGCACTGTGGTCCATGGACACCGCATGACACGTACAATGCATGTCAACCTGGCCCAGCACATGAAACATGGTTTGCCACAATGCCGATTTTGCCATCAGAAATTCACCACCTGGCGTTCCTTCACCATACATGCCCAACGTGGCTGCCAGGTACTTCAAGCTGGCCCCACAGCTTGCTGGCTTGACCTGACGTGGCCACTTGCAGCAGACCGACTGCACAGGCCGACCATGTTTGCACCCAAACAGGATGCACCTGTGCGTGGACAGATCCTATTGTCCTCCACAGACCTGCAGAACATCACCAGTCAGGAGTGGGGCCAACGCATTTTGACCATCGTGGGATCCAAACACTGGCACCACATGAAGAAGGAGACAGATGCTTGCATGTACCTTGCCAATAGGTGCTGTTTGTGCGATCAGTTCCTGGGCAGAACGCAGGAATTACACAGACATTACAAGTTGCATCACCCAGAGTTTTGGCCGCATGTTCAGACAAAGGGCACACAGCTTACGCACCTACATGGTGAGGACCCACCTTGTCCCTATTGCGGAGCCTTGTTCAATGCCAATCACCAATGCACGGTGTGGCTACAATTGGCAATGCTACTCATATACGGCGGCGGTGTCACCTCGGAGCCTCAGCCTGTGCCAGTGACATTGCGCTGTGAAATCTGTATGGACACTTTTGCAACCAATGAGGACCTGCATGCACATCTCACCATGACACACCGCCTGAAGAGCACCAGCTACAACGTGGCCAGAGACTCACTAGCCGGTGAGCCAGTGTGTGCACACTGCCAAACAATGTATGACAGCTTGGAATCATTGCGTTCACACATAAACCAAAGCAGGTGTCCACGATTCAACCCTGATCTGCCGACAGAGGTCGTGGATGTCCTTCCGCAGTGGGTTGACGCCATGTGTCGAGGCCAATTTGCCAATGTTTTGCGTGATGCACATGTTCGACTGCAGCTCACCTTGCGGTGCCAAAACTGCAGCAGTCGATACCAAAGATCCTCATCCCTGGCAGGCCACCTCCAATCGGCTCATCCACAGTTATGGTCAGCATCCCAAGAGCTCACGCAGGTGATGGTATCACTTCTGTATGATCAAACAGGTTGCTTATGCAACCCTGGCGTAGGATCTGGTCGCAACAGTCACGTTTGTTTGCCCATACGTCAGCTTGCAATGCAACATTTAAGGATGGAAGGACAGATCCTGTTTCCACATCAACCTTCTGATGAGGAATTGACTGCCATTTTCTCCTTGAATTTGACCAGACAACAGAGGTTTACGTTGGAAAAGACCATCACTGACAGAGCCATCTCAAACTTCTGGACTGCTGACCCGGTTCTGACCATCCTGAGGGAGACCTGCGTCCTATGTGGACAACAAATGCATCCTGCTGACCTGATTCCACACCTCTATGAGGCCCATCAGTGTGGACAACCAATTGTGCACTTCATCAAGACACAGCTGGTATTCAAGTTTCTTGCACATGCCACTGATGATGGTGAGTGTTACGCATGCCAGCAGATTTACAACTGCCCGCGCAACTCTGACTTGAGCCCCAATGATGCATCCCGCACTGCAACTGCTCAAGCACATTTTCGTGCCCAGTGCCCTTGCGTGCTACAGGGTGCCATCATCCTGAGCAAGGCCGCCCATGGCAGACATGGACATGCCCGAAGCCGAGGAAGTGAGCCAACAGGTGTGGGCAGCTTTTCAGGCCATAGCCCCCCACTCATGACCGACAAGACGCTGATCTTGGAACCCAATGCAGCACCAAAGCGCCAAAGAAAAGGCGATTCAACACCTCAGCCACCCGGGCACGCCAAGCCCACACAGGGCAACGGAAAGGTGGACCTGGCCCAAGCCATGACGCTGATGGCAAAGCTGGCCTTGAGACTAGATCGGGACCTTCAGCAATTGAAGCGGGAGGACACCTTCATCTACTTTTTCGGGCACAAAGGGCCAAACAGCAGTCTGCAGACCTTGCTGGAGGCCACCAAGACCTGGGCGGAGAACTTCCAAGCGCCTCAACCTGCACAACCGGTGCAACCTTTGAGGCAACATCTCATGCAGATCCTCTTCAACACTCTCCTGACACGACTCACCAAGCTGGGGGAATCGGAGAGGGGATCGGAGATTCAGGAAACCGCCATTCGGAACCAGATCTTGCTCCCCGATGGCCAATGCCCATACCTGGAATGGGATGCAGCACAGAAGCAGTTGAAGATCAGCCAGCGCCGACCGCTGACCTTGAAACACCTCCATCAACTGTGCACCGACATGATCGAACACCTGGCCGACGTGAACCTGGTGAGTGCCTTCCATGCCCTGCCCTCGACCAACAAGGAGGTCACGGCCTGGAAACTTCAGATCAGCCTGCGAGCCGACACACCATGGCAAATTTTGCAAACGATGTCCAACTCGGCAGTGTGGCACCTCATGGGGACTGCGCTGAAACCCCATGGACAGAAGCAGAGCCCCCTGGCAATGAACCTCCAGCAGGCACTTGGCATGCACAAACCGCCCAAAGGCAAGGGCAAAGGCAAAGGCAAACACAAAGTGGAACCCAAACAGGAGTGATGCCCACCATGAACCTGCGGCAGCCTGACCCACGAGACTTGCTGCAGCAGCTGGCGCACATTGTCATGCAGAACCCAGGCAATCTCTGTTTTGCAAATGCAGCAGTTTACTCATACCTATGGGTCACTTTGACCATGACGCCATGTGATTTGTCAGCCTGGGGTGAGCAACGCCAAATGCTCATTGATTTCATTCAGACACATCATGATAGGCCTGCCAATTTAGGTGATGAAGCTTGGTTTGATGACATTTTGCGTTGCTGGGGAATCATGGATCATCCAGATCCTGCACAACTTGCGCAGCAAGATGCTGCGGAGTTCATCCAAGTGTGGCTTGACCAGTTGCGGGGAAATACTTTCAACATGCGCTGGGAACAACGCTATGAGCAAAATGGACGTGTTGTGCTTGCTGATCAGGGTCACAGCTTTACACCTTTGCGACTGAGTTTTGATACCAACCTTGCCAGTGCAATGCGATGTGACATGAATCAGCTCATTTCCATTTGGCGCCAGGCTGACGGCATGCTCACGGCCCTGGTTGAGGCTCCTCCATGCCTTTGCGTACATGTCGAAAGATGCATACAGAACAACACAGGACAAGTCATCAAAAGTGAATGCAAGATCAACTTGGACTCCATGTGCCTGATGCCCATCTTTCGAGACCAAGGTCTCACCTATGATCCAGCTGAGTATCAAATTGTTGCCCTGATGAGCCACTTAGGCCAAGATGGCTCAGGTCACTACCGAGCTGCATTGCGCATTTCACCAACGCTGACTGATGCAATCACACCGGCAGAATGGCTTTTGACAGATGATTGGACGCCACCTGCACCAGCATGGATTGCCCCGCAGTGGATGACACGCACGGCCAATATCTTCTGGCTGATACGCACAGATTGCATCCATCTCCTCACCCACGTGTCGAGACAGCCGTTGAAAGACATCACGATGCCCACCATTTGACGTCAGGCCTTTTTTTGTTTTTTTTTCCAGCTGCCACGCAGCAACAATTTCTCCAAAGACTGGATGAAGCAGGATGCCGGAAAAGATTCCGATTTGGAACCAGTGTCACCATGACACTGCTGGCTGGCACAAACCTGAATGCAACAGCAAAAAGGAGTGTGGGAAAAAAAAAACACACACACACACACACCCACACACCCACGCACACCCACACGCACACCCACACGCACACCCACACGCACACCCACACGCACACACGCACACGCACACGCACACGCACACGCACACGCACACGCACACGCACACGCACACGCACACGCCACACCCACACGCACACACACACACACACACACACGCACCACACACGCACAACACACACGCACACACACACACACGCACACACACACGCACACACACACGCACACACACACGCACACACACACACGCACACACACACGCACACCCACACACCTCACCCACAAACACAACTCATCCGTACACAACTTACTCACACATACTCGTCCACACATAACTTACTCCACACCAATCCTTCACCATCTCTTTTCTCTTTCTTGCTTACCCCATGCCGTCTTTGCCTTTCTTTTGTTGCTTGTTGGAAGAAGTTGACTTGTGGGGTTATCCGGTCCTTTAATTTTTTGCACGTGTCTAGATTTGTAGAATCGTTTCTGGAACTGCTATGACCCAACGTAAACGTTGGCTCAAGACCCGCGAGTTCGAAAAGGGTGAGTGTGTCGCCGTGAGACGGCCTGGGAAAGCTGACACAGACAGAAACGCGAGACGACCACCGTTTGTTTGTGTTTTGGTTTGGGTTTACTTTGTGCACGAGAGGTTTGAAAGCGGTTTTCGCGATCTAACTTTGTGTGTCAAAGTTTTACGGCTTCGGCCAGTCTCGTTCGGGGTCAAAGTATTCCACTTCCGTTGGCTGTTGCACTAGGAGGCGGCCACAAAATGCAAACGCAACAGACTTGGAGACCAGGACTAGCTCAAGGGATTTCGGGGCAATTCGTCGGTATGCCCGGGAGTCAGCGGAACGACTCGTACCTTGCATTACTTTTTCTTGGACTAGGAAGATGGCACAGCGACGCGGGCCCTCTGGGAGCTGGAAACGCCCAAACAAGGCTCTCCCTGCCATCACATTGGCTTCCATGCTTCCCAAGCTACCATGTTGACACAGACTCCATGGTGACGCGGAAGGAACCGCCTTTGGGTCACTGAAAAGCAAAAGAGGAATGCAGTCAGTGATTAATTGCATCACATGAAATCCCGCAAAGGCCTCATAGCCATATCGGACCACCAGTTCAACTCCCGGATGACGTCGCTCTTGTCGTTGTGCCAACAACACACTCGTCCAGAGGTGCAAGTGTTGTAGTTGACGACCTGCATGGTAAGCATCCAGTTGAGGCAACACCATATCGAGCAGGAAGATCAATATGCGCAGAGGGAACCCACGGAGGAATTCGGTGAGCAGGTTTCGCATAAGTGCTCCTCCTTCTGCATTCGCCTGCCCAGGAATTGGGATCATGTCAATCAGGATGCAACCTGGCATGCAATGAGATATTTCTCTTGGTTATTTGTGGGGCAAAAAGTAACGCCAAGATTCTGCATAAAACCGACATGTTGAACTTTATCATTGAGAAGATTATATAACCATGCAGAAGCTTCAAATTCGCTGGTACTGCTTTAACAAGTGAAAACAAAGTGAACAGAGATATCTTTGTTAAGGCATATGTCAATGAATTTCTGAAGGACATAAGCTTTGGGGAGTAAGAGGCAGAGGCCAACTCCTGTATCACTGTGATCAAAGGCTTCTTCATAAGTGATCACAGTGCCTGAATATCTGTTCGGATCAATATCACTGGGACAGTTTGCAACAAAAAGATGTTCTTTCCCAAGACTCGACACAAGCTCAATGGCATGCTGTTCAACAGTTTCATGAGGGTTACTGTTCATGTTGTCGACTATAACCCAGAGTACCCCTGGGTACAGTGACTACACAGAGGCAAGCCAGGAGGGCAACCTGGGCGGAACAAGACGATAACAAGAACAAAAAAGACTACACTGAGTACCCCAGTGAGCCTTGTCAATCAAAACAACAAGATCACAAGTAAAAGAACTACACTGGGTACCCCAGGAGTCCTTAAACAAATGGGGTTCAAAACTGGTGTGTTCAACGGACACAGTGCAAGTAAGTCAAAAACGAGAAGGTAGATCAAAAACAAACAAAACTAAGAAAAAACCCCCCTTCCCTTACTCTCTTCTAAACAAACAGGTTGACGGGCACCTTTGTGCTCTTCCTACGGCAGTACTACCCTAGCCCCTTTATACTGGTGCCCCCAAAATTAACTCACGCAAATCACCCAAGATGGATGTTTGCCCCTTGAGTTAAAATCAGGTTACCCAGTCCCACGGGGTTTGAGCCGATACAGCCTTGAGCCAATGGCTACGGATTTCGGGGCTATGATGAAGCAGGCTTGTCGCCAAACACTCAAGTCTTTGGCTGCTGAATGTCTTGTTGGCGTTCGTTTGGGGCTGCTGAATTTCTTGACTCCTGTCTGCGTGGACTGATTGTTTTGGTTGCTTGCATTTGGTGCAGGTGGCTGTTTGTTTTGGACAGATGTCGTTGACACACTTCCTAGATTTGGGTTGGTGGGTTGGTGTCTAGAAAGTGTGTTTTTTGCTGATGAACACAGCTACAATTTTTATCCCGCACCCGCTGTCAATTTGGGAATAGACCGAGAGGGGACAGCGAAAAGCAAAGACGGTCAACAAAAAGGAACATCGGCCCTAAAGCGTAAAGTTGCAACGGCCCTTTCAATGAAGGTGAAACCTGTTTAAAAATATAGACATTCATGTGCATTTGCTCCAATTTCAGCCGTCGAGGCTTGCCTCGAAAATTCTCCCTCATCCTTACATTTTTTGTTTTGTTGAAATTTCTATGCCTCGAGGCTGCCTCGAAGCCTGCTTTGAAGCCTGCCGCCAGGCTCATCCTGAAAGATTGTTTGTTTTGCTCCAAGTTCGCATGGTCGAGAATCGGAGTTGCAACAGAGGATGCAAAGGCCTTTTTCCCGTCTTGCAGAAAGTGCGCTGTTTTGTGCTAACTTTGCTGTCGCCCCTGCGGGTTTGATTTGCTTGGCATGTGTAATACTTCTGGCAGTCACGGTGTGAAAACTGACAGCGTTTAGTGCAGATTTTGGTGGCAGCTGCGGTATTTACGGCGTGTGTGACACTGAACCTCAGAGGGTGAGCGTTTAGTACGACAGTTGTGGCACTACACGCCTTTTACCGTGGAAAAAACCAGCAAAACAGGTCCAGCCTGCAGCGTGTAGTGACTCTTTTTCTAAACTATATTGATCTTTAAAGAAATAATTACAACCGAACGCCAGGAAACGGCGAAAATGTGTCTCCGGCCACAGCGCGGAGCGTTTAGTGGGGTACTACACGCCCAAACGGTCGCATCCAAAAATCGCTGTTTTACCACAGTGCGAAGCGTTTAGTGCCGATCTTATTGGCAGGCACAGTATTTGCGCTCTGCGTCGCGCCAAAATCACAGAGGGTGAGCGTGTAGTGCCGCCAGTTGTGGCACTACACGGCAGGTTTCTGTGCACAAACCTTGGCAGGCGCAGTATTTCAAAAGGAAACATGGCCACCCCACAGCTTAAAACCTGCCACGGCTGAAGCTGTGACGTGGCCACGTTTGTTTGTCAAATACTTGCCACGGGCTAAGCTGTGAGGTGGCCATGTTTGCTTGTCAAAAACTGCCCCTGCCAGGGTTTACGCTGTGTAGTGGCCATGTTAGCTTCTGAATTACTGCGCCTGCCAGCGTGTAAGCTGTCCAAGTTAAGCTGTGAGGTGGCCATGTTTGTTTGTCAAGTACCGCAGTTGTCAGGGTTTTAAGTTGTGAGGTGGCCATGTTTGTTTGCAATATTTGCCACAGGTTGAGATGTGTGGTTGTTTACTTCTGAAATGCTGCGCTTGCCAAGGGTTTAAGCTGTGATGTGGCCATGTTTGCTTCTGAAA